AAGAAAAACAACTTCTAAGATATGAAAAATAATTTATTAATTTACTGCATTTTCTTCAGTTTACCCTTGAGGTAAAATTTTTACATTTTGAACACGGTTACATTTTATTTTTTAATTCCTTAGATTATTATTACTCAATGTGCTGGTCCACAATGTATGATACACTGGTCCAGTAGTGTATGATTTCTTATCAATCTGCAATGAGATAAGGAGCTTGCTTCAGAACGTAAATCAACATACTGCTTCCTTCACTGAGAAAGTCTCGCCATCAAAAAAATATCAGCTAAACTAAAACAGTGTGCTTAGAGATGTAATTGATTTTTATTCTGGCACAAGCTCCTCATCTTGCTGCAGACTGATAAGAAATCATACACTGCTGGGATTGAAAACAACCACTTTGGAAAACTGGCAATTTTTAATAAATATACACTTACCCTATGACCCAGCAATTCCATTCTTAGGTACATACACCAAATCAAAAATAGGCTTGTACAAAATGGTCGTATTTATATTAGCCGCAAACTGGAAACAATCCAAATGTCCATCAACTAGAGAAGGAATAAACACATTGTGCTACATTCATACAGTGGAATGTTGTTGTTAGGTGCCATCGAGTCAGTTCCAACTCATAGCAACCTGATGTACAACAGAACAGAACGCTGCCCAGTTCTGCGCCATCTTCACAATTGTCGTTATGCTTGAGCCCATTGTTGCAGCCACTGTGTCAGTCCATTTCGTTGAGGGTCTTCCTCTTTTTCGATGACCCTCTACTTTACCAAGCATGATGTCCTTCTCCAGGGACCGGTCCCTACTGCTAACACGTCTAAAGTATGTGAGACGAAGTCTTGCCATCTTTCCTTCTAAGGAACATTCTGGCTGTACTTCTTCCAAGACTGATTTGTTTGTTCTTCTGGCAGTCTATGGTATATTCAATATTCTTCACCAACACCATAATTCAAAGGCATCAGTTCTTCTTTGATTTTCCATTGTCATTGTCCAGCTTTCGAATGCATATGAGGCAACTGAAAACACCATGGCTTGGGTCAGGCACACCTTAGTCCTTAAAGTGACATCTTTGCTTTTTAACACTTTAAACAGGTCTTTTGCAACAGATTTGCCCAATGCAATGTGTCATCTGATTTCTTGACTGCTGCTTCCATGAGCGTTGATTGTGGATCCAAGTAAAATGAAATCCCTGACAACTTCAATATGTTTTCTCTGTTCATCATGATGTTGCTTATTGGTCCAGTGGTGAGGATTTTTGTTTTATTTATGTTAAGGTGTAATTCATACTGAAGGCTGTGGTCTTTGATCTTCATCAGTAAGTGCTTCAAGTCCTCTTCACTTTCAGCAAGCAAGGTTGTGTCATCTGCATATTGCAGGTTATTAATGAGTCTTCCTCCAATCCTGATGCTGCGTTCTTCTTCGTATCGTCCAACTTTTCAGATTATTTGCTCAGCATACAGACTGAATAAGTATGGTGAAAGGATACAACCCTGAAGAGGGTGTGGAATGAGGGTTATCATTGCTGATGTCAGATGGATCCTGGCTGAAAGCAGAGAATACCAGAAAGACGTTTATTTGTGTTTTATTGACTATGCAAAGCCATTCAACTGTGTAGATCATAATAAATTATGGATAACATTATGAAGAATGGGAATTCCAGAGCACTTAATTGTGCTCATGCAGAACCTGTTCATAGGACAAGTGGCAGTCGTTCGAACAGAACAAGGGGATACTGTGTGGGTTAAAATCAGGAAAGGTGTACATCATACAGTGGACAACTCAGCAATAAAAATAATGTACTACTGATATACAAAATGACATGGATGAATCTCAGAAACATTATGTTGAGTAAAAGAAGCCAGACACAAAAGATACTGCATGATAGAAGTGAAATATATATATACATACTTCCAGGGAGTAATGACAAAGGCTCCAAGGAAGATGATCCTTTTATGCCACCTGAGGAATGGAGCAGGTGGGGGATTTCATTGAGGTTCTCATTTCAGCTGGTTGTTTTTCAAGATGAGAAAGGAGAGAAGGTGGAAGGAACTGCAAAAGAAGAACTAGGAAATGGGAGTAGGGAGAAGTGGAATTCCTACTGGACAGAAGGGACTACTATATATTTTCAAAGAATGTAATTATGACCCTTTTTCTACAGTAGCTTTTCAAAATTTAATTTCAGTGTACTCTCGTTGATACTCACAGAGCCCTTGTAAGAAGGAAATAGATGGGAAAGCCAAGATTCAGAGACGCTAAAGTCACTGACTCCAGCCTTATCTCACCATAGAAGCTCAAGGGGAGATGGTTTTGTTTCTCAAAATGAAACATCTTTAATGTTTCTTCTGACAATATACAAGAATTTTTAAAAACATTTTTTAAAGTAGTACAGAAAAACAGAAAGGCCCTCATAAGCTTACTCCCCAGAGATAACTATCATCAACAGACCTTTTTCATATTTGGCCCAAGCAGGTTCTTGGCTGCATTCAACAGAAATGGACTCTGGGTACCAGAAGCAAAAAAGGACTTACTGCAAAGATTTCAGTTAATAACCCCTTGCCATTGAGTCAATTCCAGCTCATAGTGACCCTATAGCACGGAGTAGAACTGCCCATAGGGTTTCCAAGGAGAGGCTGGTGGATTTGAACTGCCAAACTTTGGTTAGCAGCCGAACTCTTAAATACTGTGCCACCAAGGCTCCAATAGCATCATACCAAAAACAAAAAACAAAAACAAACCATTGCCGTCCAGTCAGTTCCGACTCATAGGGAGGCTGAAAAAACAAACTCAGGAAAATGGCTAAAAACCAAGGTGAGCTGGGCAGCCAGGACCCCAGCCAAGATCAGGATACTGGGCACTCTGGTTACGACACCATTTCTGCTGCCAGGGGACATCGCCATGACTGCCACCACTGCCCCTAGGACACTGGGTGTCATAGACACCTTCCACAGAAGAACAAGTTCTAAAACATCCCTGCTTCTGGACATCGGTCTCTTTGGATCCTAAATCCAATTAGCACTTTCAGAGGCTCAGGGAGTGAATATCTACTTGGGGCACAGACCTGTCACTCAGACACATATAATGAAGGAAAAGAGTTCACAAGTCACACAGCAAATAAATGGCGAATGTTGATTACACATGTATATAGTTTTCCTGTGGGATTTTATTTTATATACTAATTGGTAAGTAGAGTTCTATTTCGGTTTGCTTAGGCCTGCGTATCTATTCAAGTCGTCCCCTAAATTCCTACACAATATTTATTGTATAGATATTATTCTTCACCAATTTTCACTTGATGGACATTTATTCTCTACTATCATAAACAATATAGCTGAGAACATCCATGAGCATACATCTTGACAACTGTCCAATTATTCCCTTAGGATAAAGTCCCAGAAAATAAATAAAATTTTATCTCTTGCCCGATTCGCCTGCGGAAACATTATCCATTTACACTCTCACATTAGAAGAAAGCCCAGCCCCAGGCCCTGGCCATTATTATCTGTCCCAGACTTTCCCGGCTGAGGTGGGGAAAAAACCAAAAAAACAAACTATGTTTCATTTTGTTTTAATTTAAATTTCTTTTATAAGAAGTGAA